TTGCTGAAGATAAATATACCTTCTTCAATATGTACTGATGATTTGTTATTTCCATAATCCAAAATGAGTTTTATTATATCCTAACCTCTTTATGTTATATACATTTATTGAGGTTTAACTTACATCCATAAAGTGTGTACATCTTAAGTGCTCATCTCAACAAAATTTTACACACATGCACACCCATGTGGACACAACCCAGATCCAGGTACAGAACATCTCCGACCCCTGGTGTCCTGTCCCAGCCCAGGTCATCCTCCCCAAGGGTGACGGCCATCTGACTTCTGTCACCACAGGTTAGTTTTGCCTGCTTTTGAACTTAATATAGATGAAATGCTGTAGGAGATGCTCTTGTGTCTGGCTTCTTTCACACAGCATTGTGTCCATGAGATTCATCCATGTTGCTCTGGAGCAGTAATGTGAGCTTTTTCATTGAATAAATACATTCCATTGTCTGAATTTCATTGTAGTATTCCATTGAATGAATATATCCAATGTTTTCATTCTGTCCAAATGGGCCTTTGGGTTATTTCCAACTTGGGGCTATTATAAATAACACTACTATGGACAGTCATGTACACTTCTAATTAATGATTAATATGGCCTTTGTCCTCCTGTGATGACCCTATTTTAACCAAGTTGCGGTCACTTATAACCATGAATGTAGCTTTCAAAATGTTTGGATAAGAGGAATAAAGTGGCGAGTATTTATAAAGTGACTTGAACTTTACAATTAAAAGATCATTTACTTTGAAAAGCTGTATAAATGGTTATTTAAAATAGCTATGTGGCTTCTATCAAGCGATAAGTCATCTCTGAGCTTCAGTTTCCCCATCTGTTAAATGGATATAATAATAATATTGTGCAAAAATAATACAATTGTTTCAAGGATTAGGTGATAGTGAAGTAAAGCACTTAGATGGACCCTGGCCATCTGAATGCTCAATATTAATTGCTGTTATTAATTTTTTATCATAATGATGATATAGGGTAAAGTCAAAGATGGTATAAAGTTGCACGAGCATATAACACAAAGCAACCAGCGTAAACCAAGTGATTTTTTTAAATGCCAGACATAAGTTGTTCTGCTTTTCTTCCTACTTTATAACCTCTTTCCCATCAACGTTGATTCCTATAGTTAAATAAACCTGTATTTAAACAAAGAGATCTCCTGGATAAGATGGAGGAGGAAGAAAAAAGAAAAAAAAAACTTGGGCTGGGGAATCTGATGATTGTTGGGTCAGCATTAACTTTTGGCCTCAGTTTTAACCTTGGGGGACTGTTTTCATTGTTTGTACCTCTGCCTTAGATTCTCTTTCCTGGCCTTCTAATAATAGGTAATCATTTGAATTTAATCTGATCTGATCCAGTGTCAGGAATTCCAAAGGCCAGAGAGACAACTATTTCTTTTCCTTTTTTCTTTGGAGACAGAGTCTTATTCTGTCACCCAGGCTGGAGTGCAGTGGCAGGATGTTGGCTCACTGCAACCTCTGCCTCGAGGGTTCAATCAATTCTCATGCTTCAGCCTCCAGTGAAGCTGGGATTGTAGGCGTGCACTACCAGGCCAAGCTAATGTTTTGTATTTTTAGTAGAGACGGGGTTTCACTCCGTTGGCCAGGCTGGTCTTGAACTCCTGGCCTCAAGTTATTTGCCCACCCCAGCCTCCCAAAGTGCTGGGATTGCAGGCATGAGCCGCCATGCCTGGTCTAACTTATTTCTAATCTTACATGTTCCATTGGCTTCCCACATGGAATCACATTAAGGTGCTATCATTTTAAAGTGTGGATGCTGCAGCAGAACCCAGGTGGCTTTGATGAGAATGTGCAAACATGTAAGATTAAAAAGCTGCTATTGACAAAGCAGTGGAGTTATTATTATATAAATAGTCTTCAGCCGCGTCTTTGGATTTATGGTACTGGTCATTTCAGTATTAGTCAAGAAAGCTACTCCACTGGGCAATCATTCAAAGAAGGAGGGAAGAATGCCTCCTACACCCAAAGGTGTTTCCTAACTCGAAACAGAAACACATTTCATACATTTTTAACTTTTAATTTTGAAATCATTTCAGACTTCCAGGAAAGTTGCAAAAATAGCACAAAGAAACATCTACTCTTCACCCAGATTCCCAAATGTGAGCACTTTGCCATATCTGCCTCATTCTTCTTTCTCTCTGTTCACACCCACACGCATACACATACATGCACACAAATACATGTACACACACTCTGTCATTTTTTCTGAACCACTTAAGTTGCAGACATTGTATCCTTTTACCCCTAAATACTTCAATGCATATTTCCTAAAAACAAGGCTATTCTGTTTAATACCTACAGTATAATTATCAGACCTAGAAAATTAATACTGATGCCCTCTTAGCAATATTACCTAATCTGCAGGCTGTGTTCAATGGCCGACTAATGTCCTTTATAGCAAATGAAGAATTTTTTTAGTCCAGAATCTAAGATCACATATTATATGCATTATATTTAGGTGAATCTATTTCCTCAGAAAATAATCTTTCTTTTTTTTTTTTTTTTGGAGACAGAATCTTACTCTGTCATCCAAGCCGGAGTGCAGTGGTGCAATCTTGGCTCACACTGCAACCTCTCTACCTCCTGGGTTCAAACACTTCCCCTGCCTCAGCCTTCTCAGTAGCTGGGACTACAGATGTGCACCACCATGCCCAGCTAACTTTTTTTGTATTCCTAGTAGAGACGGGGTTTCACCATGTTGATCAGGCTGGTCTCCAACTCCTGACCTCAAATAATCCGTCCGCCACAGCCTCCCAAAGTGCTGGGATTACAGATGTGAGCCCCGCGCCTGACCTTCCTCAGAAAATATTCTGAGGGATGTTGAACTCTCCTTATTAGAAAATCCTTCCCTTAAGATAGTATTTTTGCTCTCCTGTTAATTGGATGACCAGTTGAAGGACTAGGTCAAAAGAATGTCTTCTAGCATATTTGCCTGTACTTATGGGAATAGGGCATGAAAGTAATCAAAACAAATATATTTCATTGTGTTGATTATATGCAAGTTAGACATCATTTAGGAAGATTAGGTCTTCCTGGCTTTTCAGAAAAAAAATGTTAGCATGTCAGTCATGGTGCTGCTTGGTGTTGTCTGTTGGTTGGATGTTAAGCTGTACAATTTGTGTGTCCTGCAGCCAATGCCTAGAGGTATAGATGACCCTTCTAAGAAAGCAGATGCTGTGTTTCTTCTTTCTTCAGACAATGGTCATAGCTGCTACACTTTCTTTGGCAGATGTGGTGCTGGAGAAAGCCATGCACAAGTGCATCTTGAAGCCCCTGAAGGGGCACGTGGAGGCCATGCTGAAGGACTTTCACATGGCCGACGGCTCGTGGAAGCAACTCAAGGAGAACCTACAGCTTGTGCGGCAGAGGAATCCGCAGGAGCTGGGGGTCTTCGCCCCAACCCCTGATTTTGTGGATGTAGAGAAAATCAAAGTCAAGTTCATGACCATGCAGAAGATGTATTCCCCGGAAAAGAAGGTCATGCTGCTGCTGCGGGTCTGCAAGCTCATTTACACCGTCATGGAGAACAACTCAGGTGAGGCTGCTGGGAGCCCAGGATCCGTGCCGCTTCCCTTCCGGGCCAGGGACAGACCTGTCTCCTGTCAAGCTTTCTGATTCCCAGTATCTCCTCCCTTTGGTCTGTTGATTTCACCAAGTGGCTTACAAAATTATAAGTGATTCTCTGATATCTGACAAATTAGTCACATGCAGTGGATTAAAATGTAAGCAGATGAGGGCAGCAAGATTTTTGAACCAGGCCAGTTTAATTAAAGATTTAGTTCAGGGTATGGTTACAAATTCAGTCTCTGGAGTCTGAGCTCAAATTTTTCCTCCGAGAAGAAGAAAATTAACGGAGGGACTTTGGCCCTCTTAATCCACCTTGCATGCTGCAGTTTTCTGTGTCTGTAGCCGGATGTGACCCTTTCTTTCATAAGGTGGGGATTAGCCGAGACAGCGCACACATAGCCCCAAGTGCAATGGAAATATCAGCAATTATCATTACAACATTTTGTCCAATGAAGGTTTGTTTCAATGACCTATAGTATGTGAAAGAAACTCAGAGTATTCAGTCATAATGAGGCCTCATTAGAGCCATTTCATTGGCTCGCCCTTCTTTGCTACAAGCTGAAGCAATATAATTGAAATTCTCCAAAGAGTTACAAACTTGGAAAGCCGGCCCTCAGATTTACCCTTGCTGCTTCCTGTAGATGTAGGAGTAACTATGAATCATGGATAGTGATGGAGCCCTGCATTGTCCCAGGTCTTCAGTAAGCTTATTGTAATTCCGAGGACGGTTACAAACTTTCTTCTGAGTGAAACTGCTTAATGGAGAAGCAGCAGAGAGAAAACACAGGCTCTATTAACGACTGCTTGAGTAGACAGGAATGTGTGTGCACTTTGGGAATTGTTGAGTGAAGACATTAAAATATGAGCTCCTGGGCCTGGTAATGATAGGATGTGAACATCGCCTCCTAAGTCTGCAAGCATATTTCACATATTGGAAACATATTTTTTATAGCTCACAGTCATTTCTAAAAAATTCCCCAAATAATATCTGCACGGGATTATGCTCCTCTGAAGCAGTTTCTTGACACTGATATAGACAGGATAATTCTTTGTTGTGGGGGCTGTCCTGCTTCCCGTAGGAAGTTTAACAGCATCCCAGATGTCCTCTGCACACCCACCCTCCAGTTATGTCAATGAAAAATGTCTCCAGACAGTGCCAAATGTCCCCTGGGGGACAAAATCATCTCCAGTTGAGAACCAGTGATGTAAAGAAAACTAGAAGTAAAGGCTAACATTTTTTCCAATATGTTTCTATTAGTCAATGTATATCTTTAACATATACCAAGCTTGCACATTTAAAGAAGTTAGCTGTGTGCTCACATTGAATACAGAGCAAAGTTTGCTTATTTCTGGTTTGAGTTTGGTCTTGTCATTATGTTTGTGAATAATATGCACAGCAAGCAATAGGAAATAAAACACAAAGAATTAGCATAAGTAAATATTTTATAAGTGTTTTATACTGTTTGCTAAAAGTTAAAATATTTTAAAGACTATTCTGTTCTATCACCTAATTTTATACAAATTATAAAACTAGGGAGAAAATCTGTAATGTGTTCAGTGATTCATAGACATTCATTCTGAAACTGTAAGGGCTGGTCTCTAACATTAGCAGCTGGGAGGGTCACAGGCTACACAGGATTTCAGAAACACCCACCTCTGTTTATAAATAATGCAGTTCCCCAGAGTGACTCCTTGGTTTCTAATAAAAGCAGCAAGTAGGATATGAAAGAAAGAAAAGTTGGTAAAAATATTCCATCTCGTTGTTTGTTCCTGCTCTCAGGGAGGATGTATGGCGCTGATGACTTCTTGCCAGTCCTGACCTATGTCATAGCTCAGTGTGACATGCTTGAATTGGACACTGAAATTGAGTACATGATGGAGCTCCTAGACCCATCGCTGTTACATGGAGAAGGTAACTATTTTTGAGAAAAGTTGAAGGAACTGGGTGATATTTTTTTCAACTTTTTTATAATTGAGATGAAATTCATGTCACATAACTATCATTTCATAGTGAACAGCTCAGTGGCATTTGGTATATTCACAATGTCATGCATTCTCCCCCTTTATTTAGCTTCAAACTGTTTTCTTCACCCTATAATAAAACTCTGCACCCATTAAGCAGTTACTTGGGTGCTTTTTTGACATCTTAAATGTTAACTGCATTTTTTTTTAAATTAAAAGAATGTACTAACCTTTTTCTGATTACAAAAGTGATAATACACACTCATGGTAGAAAATTTGGAAAAGTCTGGAAAAAAAATATAACCCCATCTTAACTATAATTCACTAAGATTGCTTAATGGCAATAAAAAAAAATATGTTCAGTAGAATAAATGTCATTAAGAAATGGTTTCTTTGATTCCAAGAGGAAATTATAAACTTTTGTTGAGAATACTTCCATTGCCAGAAAAATAAATAACCTGTTCTTATGTTAGTGAAATGGATAAAAGTTTGGCCTTGTTTTCATTTTTTAAAATTTTATTTTCAAGATGAAAACAGTATTAATTTTTTTCCAGTTTTCTTTTTAAAGTATCTGCCCATTTTTACAATAAAAATACAGGGGTGTGGAATCTGTGCAGTTTGCTTTCAATTTATCATCTTGGCAGTTCGGGTTCCTTCTCTTGTGTCTGCCTAACCCCAACGTGTCTTAGCAGAAATTCCTTCTCCTTACACATGCCTTAGGTATTTTGCCATGGAAATGATTAGAATGTTTGGCACGGTAGTGCACAGCCTTGAAAAGCAGAAATAACTGGGACTGTATGTGAGCTTGTCTTTTTAAAGGAGGACAAATCAAGGCCTGTGCACCGTGAATCCTCTTAATCCATTTTTATGTATCCAGATAAAAGCCCAGACAGGCCCTGGGGGAGATTTTTATGTATTCTTTCCTCCGGTGAGTTTCAGTCTGGGCTTGAGTGGAAAGGTCCATCTCCGACAGGATTCCCTAAGGAATGTGTCATCCCAGCATTTTCCCTGGAGGGAATGAAATGCATTTTTATCACCCCCAGAATGTGCCCCTTAGTCTCCTCAGTCCTGTAATGTGAATTCCCCAGGCCTTGGTTTTCCTGTCCGAGGGACTGCCCTCCCTGGAGCCCTGAATTTGCCCTTCCCACGTGGCCTAGGTAGTGCTGACTCAGGAGGAGGGATCTCTCTCCTCCCGTCCCTAACCCCAGGCAGGTATGAATGGGCCTCTTTCATGCTTTCACCCTTTAGCTTCTTCTGTCTCCTCATTAATATTCCGGACCCTGCAACCAGACACTTCTCGATGAGCCTTGAGGCTCTCCCTGGAGCTTTTCTTGCCTGCTCTGCCCTGGGATTAGACAGGACAAGGCCAAACATGTGGTTTTGCCCAGGGACCAAGAGAAGCGTGTTAGTCTAACACGGCATGCTTTCCTTCCTTCCACTGGAATATTTGTTATTAATACAGTTTGAGGTTTGGTTATTCTTTTTCAAGCTTCAATCATGTTTAATTACAGTAATAAGTATACAGAGCTCTTAGGGCTTTGGGGAAAAAGACATGCCAATTTCACTTAGAAAGTCACGATTCCATTGCTGACAGTGTGCACTCAGGACAAACATTTGCTTATATCTTGTGGCCCAAGGATAGATACCTCCTGCCCCTTTCTCAGATGGGCCCCCGGCAAGGTCCTGTGTTGATAACTGATGGGATAGGTGGCTGTCATCTCCCCACAAATCCCACAAGATAGACAAGGGCACAGCTAGTGAGGACACAAAGCGGCTGATGAGCTCGCACTTGAACTAGAGCCTGCTTCCACTTAACCGTGTCTGGGACTTCTTGGCTTCCTTCCTTGGGAGAGCAGGCGGCCTAGTCGGGTTGGCTGTGATCACAGACCAGGCCTGCACGGCATCGAACTGAAGCTGTGCATCCTGGGAGGAAGAGGTTACTGAGCAGTGGCAGCAATACAGATGGGACTTTTCCATGCCTGCCCAAAGTCCTCTTTGGTTTGTGGGGTAGCAGCCACGTCTCTTTTCTGCTGTTTAAGTAGGTATTCTCATTTGCCAAAAAGGCGTCACAGAATCCCTTAGAAGTGCACAGCTCTTGTGGTAGGGCTAAAGTTTTGCTGAAATTTAAAACCTTCTCTAATTGCATCCACATGTTTCAAAGTGTGGTCAGTTTTGTGTTTCCAGCATTTTGAGTTTTCTCCTTAGTGTCCTGAACAGATGAGAGCTAGAGAGTCTAACATGTGAAGTCCAAGGGAGCCCCCCTCCACCCCTACAAAGATTCTAACAGTCTTCCAAGTCCTGTTGCTCAAATCTTGACCCCTCCACACAGCCTTTCCTGAATGTGTTTATATTGATTTCTCCTGAAATTCTCTGTATAGCATCTGTATTCTGGATTACTGAGTTTCACACACAGTCACATGCTGATTTGTTTGTGGGGCAAATATTTGGTAAAGCTCAACAATTCAGGCCAGGCAAGGTGGCTCACACCTGTAATCTCAGCACTTTGAGGGGCCAAGGCAGGTGGGTCACTTGAGGTCGAGCGTTCGAGACCAGCCTGATCAACATGGAGAAACCCTGTCTCTACTAAAAATACAAAATTTACCGGGCACGGTGGCGCATGCTTGTAGTCCCCGCCACTTAGGAGGCTGAGGCAGGAGAATCGCTTGAACCCGGGAGGCAGAGGTTGCTGTGAGCCGGGATCGTGCCTTCCCACTCCATCCTGGGCAACAAGAGCGAAATTCTGTCTAAAAAAAAAACAAAAAAGAAAGATCAAGAATTCAAAACTCTTAACTAGGGCAATTATACTGTAGGTGGCAAGGTCTGGAAAACCCTTCACATCACTCTACACAAAAAGCTTGACATGTGATCAATGGAAAGTGCATGGCTCAGGACGACCCAGATTATGCTGCAGGAAGAAATAACCTCAAGTTTTCATCCACAACCTTAAAACAACAAGGGTGCTTTTCTTTCTCGAGTTCACATCCAGCGCAAGTTTGCAGGGTGTGCGGCTCCTGATCCACATGAAGGGGACAGTTGCCATCTTGCATGTTGCTACTTGTTGACCAGAGAGAGGCTTCCACGGGGTCTCACATAAACAGTCAACGGTGACACTTCTGCGCAAAACTCCTTTTACCAAACTGACTTATGATCCCTGCAGGAATAAATTGCCAGTGTTTTTTTTAGCAAAAGACACATTCATAAACTTCTGGAGAGTGGGGACTCTGATTCTACTTCTTACAAACCTATTTCTCCCCTGTAGCTCGCTGTGGCTCACAGTAGAGATTCGATGGGTATTCTGACAAAGAATGTCTGTAAATCTAAAATGTGCTGTGCCCAATTAGGGAATTTTAAATAAACATTCAGGGCGACACCTAGTGGCTGTTCAGCACAGAGACCATAAATTCCTCCCCAGGCACCTAATTATGTTAGGACAAAACATAATTATTCATATGAACGAATACATACACATCTCACAGTGTCGTCAGCCCTTTTACACTCCTCAAGAACATAAGAGATCATTCCTAAAGCAGCATCACCGGAACATCATTTTCCTGTAAATTATTTTATCCTAGATGGCAGATGTTATGTCAGTAAGGGGTAAGGAAGGGAATCAGGGGATAGAAATTATGTTTGAAATATTCACACTTTTGTGGACAGTTCTTTCAAAGTGTATAATTTACTTAAAATTCAGAAAATATGCATTTAATATTTGTTGTTGTTGTTGTTGTTTGTGACGTAGTCTCGCTCTGTCGCCAGGCTGGAACTGTTTGTAACGTAGTCTTGCTCTGTCGCCAGGCTGGAACGCAATGGCTTGATCTCAGCTCACTGCAACTTCCATCTCTCAGGTTCAAGCGATTCTCCTGCTTCAGCCTCCCGAGTAGCTGGGATTACAGGCGCCCGCCACCACACCCAGCTAATTTTTGTATTTTTAGTAGAGACGGGGTTTCACCATGTTGGTCAGGCTGGTCTTGAACTCCTGACCTCGTGATCTGCCCGCCTCGGTCTCCCAAAGTGGCTGGGATTGCAGGCATGAGCCACTGCGCCTGGCCATGTTTTTCTTTTTTACTTTTTTTTTTTTTTTTAAACAAAACTCTTTTTTTTGAGACAGAGTCTCGCTGTGTCGCCAGGTGCCAGGCTGGAGTGCAGTGGCACGATCTCGGCTCACTGCAACCTCTGCCTCCCGGGTTCAAGCAATTCTCCTGCCTCAGCCTCCTGAGTAGCTGGGACTACAGGTGCACACCACCACACCCAGCTAATTTTTGTATTTTTAGTAGAGACGGGGTTTCACCATGTTGACCAGGACGGTCTTGATCTCTTGACCTCAGGATCTGCCCACCTTGGCCTCCCAAAGTGCTGGGATTACAGGTGTGAGCCACCACGCCCGGCCAACAAAATTCTTGTTTATCAGAAATAGAAAATATCAATTTCTAAAAGAGAAAGCCAAGGGCAGGTGTTGCCAGGAGTCTGTGGACTGATGGAGGTGATTCTCGCCTTGGATTGTCTCACAAGCCTGACTTTCTCCCCACCTTGCTATCAGGACTTAATACCCCAACTATGCCTGGCAAACATTTTTCACAATTGCACTGTAATAATTTTGGCCAAGAAAGGTGGCTCATGCCTGTAATCCCAGCACTTTGAGAGGCTGGGACAGGTGGATCAGTTGAGGCCAGGGTTCGAGACCAGCCTGACCAATATGGTAAAACCCTGTCTCTAGGAAAAATACAAAAATTAGGCAGGGGTGGTGGCACATGCCTGTAATCCCGGCTACTCAGGGGAGGATCGCTTGAACTTGGGAGGCGGAGGTTGCAGTGAGCTGAGATTTTGCCACTGCACTCCAACTTGGATGACAAAGCAAAAAGCAAGACTCCCTCTCAAAAACAAAACAAAACAAACGAACAAATGCTTTAGAGGTTTGGTCAGTCTCACGCACTAGAATGGAAATCCCATCAGTGACAACAGGAACCTTGTGAGGCTGGCTTGTCTGTGCTCCTCTGGCCCCTCCCAGGCCTGGGTGGCTCCATAAATCTCTGCGGGATGGCTGTGTGAAGGGCCAGTTGGAGGAGTGAATGGTATGCTCTTGGACATGTGCTTCTGTGATCCCACAAGGAAATGCATGTAGAAGAAATAATAAAAACACAAAACATGCCCTCTAACGCTGGCATCCCCTGTTAAAAACCCAAGAGCGGAGGCTGGCACTGGGAGGACCCACTCTTTCTGCTCTTTTCAGGAGGCTATTACTTGACAAGTGCATACGGAGCACTTTCCCTGATAAAGAATTTCCAAGAAGAACAAGCAGCACGACTGCTCAGCTCGGAGACCAGAGACACCCTGAGGCAGTGGCACAAACGGAGAACCACCAACCGGACCATCCCCTCTGTGGACGACTTCCAGGTGCGCAGCTGGCCACCCCTTTGCTTCCTTCGTCCTCCAGGAATGCAGAGCTGGCTAACCCAGTGCACCCCAGCTCAGAGTTCCCCACTGTGTTGAATTATTTGTCAGGAAAGGGATATCTCAAACCACCCTCTGGCCTTGTTACACTGCTCTGTTTTCTTTACATTTATATATGCATGGGATATTTGGCCCAAGTTTTGCTGTCCTTAAGAAAACCAAATTGCATGAAGGCAGGATTTCTGCCAAAACAAGCAGGCAAGTCAAAAAGGAGGAGGAAGCGCTTGGCATAGGCATTGGAGATTTTGTTTCATCAGGAAACAGCCGCTGTGTTACGCGATGCAATTGGCCTAGTTTCTCTTTGAGAAGAGGGAGAAGATGTGATGTCTGTCCTCCTCTCCTTCCCTTTTCTCTTGCCCACTCTCCAAAACAGAAGACCCCAGGATCTCAGCAGCAGTTTGCAGCCCAGAGTGACTGGGAGAGCATCTGAGCGAGTCCTGCTCAGGTTCCCTGACAGGGCTTTTCCTGAACATGAGCTGCTGCTTGGGAATGTGGGATTCCCAATGGGCTTGTTTCTTATAAAGTAGAGGTGGGTTAGGGCTATAGAAATCTTTACCCAAGGCCAGGCATCAGGGCTCATGCCTGTAATCCTAGCACTTTGGGAGGCCAAGGCGGGCGGATCACTTGAGGTCAGGAGTTCAAGACCAGCCTGGCCACATGGTGAAACCCTGTCTCTACTAAAAAATATAAAAATTAGCTGGGTGTAATGGCAGGCATCTGTAATCCCAGCTACTCAGGAGGCTGAGGCAAGAGAATCGCTTGAACCCAGGAGGCGGAGGTTGCAGTGAGCCGAGATCATGCCACTGTACTCCAGCCTGGGTGACAGAGTGAGATTTCATCTCAAAAAATAAAAACAACAACAACAACAAAGGAAATCCTTACCCAACACAATAATTCCTGATTCATTCATTGTCTGGGAAATAATGAGTGAGTTGCCAAATGTCTTCAAATAATATTTTGAAGGTTTTTAATTAAATGATAAAACCTGCCTGTCCTTTGTTTATGTGTTCCCCATGATGAGTTTCCAAGCAGGGAGGGATCTGGAAAGCAGGACAGATTTGTCTACATGTCCACATTCACCTGCCTTGCCTTTTTTTTTTTTTTTTTTTTTTTTTTTTTTTTTATGATGGAGTCGTCTCCCTCCGTCACCCAGGCTGGAGTGCAATGGCACAATCTCTGCTCACTGCAACCTCTGCCTCCCAGGTTCAAATGATTCTCCTGCCTCAGCCTCCGGAGTAGCTGGGACTACAGGTGCTTGCTACCATGCCCAGCTAATTTTTTTTTTATATTTTTTGTAGAGATGGTTTTTTACCGTGGTGGCTAGGCTGGACTCAAACTCCTGGCCTCAACTGATCCACCCACCTCGGCTTCCCAAAATGCTGGGATTACATGCGTGAGCCACCGTGCCTGGCCATATTTTTAATAAGAGCTCTGAAAATAGAGGGTCAGATGAGGTGGCTCACACCTGTAATCCCAGCACCTTAGAGGCTGAGGCAGGAGAATCACTCGAGGCCAGGAGCTGGAAACCAGCCTGGGCAACAAATGAGACCCCGCTCTACAAAACACAACACAAAATGTCAAGTTAGCCAGGCGTGGTGGTGGTCACCTGTAGTCCCAGCTACTCAGGCAGCTAAGGTGGGAGGATCACTTGAGCTGAGGAGTTTGAGGCTACGGTGAGCCATGATCACACCACTGCACTCCAGCCTGGGCAACAGAATGAGACCCTGTCTCAAAAACAAAAAAAAGACAAGTCGATCTTTGCAAGCCAAGATCAGCGCATTCTTCGCCAAGATTGCAGTATTCTCGGAAATTCCTTCTCAAGCACATAAACCTAAAGAGTGAGAACGCATGTGCTGTACACTCCCCACCCTGTTGCACTGTTTAAGAAGGTCCCCATGCCACTCAGCACATGCAGACCCCTGGGGTGCCATCATAGAACCATCCAGGGAGGGGCTGCCTGAGGCAGAACAGAGGAAGTGAGGAAAGTTCGTTGTTCCCTCCCCCACCTGCCAACACACCCTTCCTCCTCCACCTCTTCACCTGGAGCCCCCAGACACCATGGAGCTGCTGCTTCTGCAGCCACTCCCTCCTGCCCTCATTGACCCTGCTCACCTTGGAGGCGCACACCTTCTCAGAACGTAACCAAAGAGGGACATGCTCAGCATTCAGCTCAGGGGTCAAAGCAAAACCTCAGACCCAAGCTCCATCTGAAATCCCTAAATCAGAGGTCAAAGGCACAAAGGTCTTCTCACATGGGAAGAAAAAGTACACCTTAGCGGTAAAGGTGGTAGGGCTGACCCTGCCACGTCCTAGCTGTGTGGCTTTAGGCACGTTACTTAGCCTCTCTGTGTCTCAGTTTCTTCACTGGTCAAAGAGGGATCATGTAGACCCTGTCTCTAAGGAAAAAAATGTTTTAAGGGTGTCAGTGTCACTCTGGGTGCTTCCCACTAGCTCACCTCTCTTGCAAAGTGACTGGGCTAGCAGAAGTCCCCACGGAAGCAGATATAAAACATATCAGATACATGTGCAGAGCTCACCATCCTTCCCCAAACTTTCCCTTCTATTATCCCAGGAAACCCTCGTGGTGACCATGCAGGCACCTGGACAGAGAGCCCTCCTTCCCTTCACTGCTGATCAGGGTTGCCAGATTTAGAAGAAGAAAATGTATTTGTTTTCTAGATACAACTCAAATGTAACTGGGTGTTCAAAATTTCATCTGATAACTCCACTCTTAAGGAAACAGAAACAAAGTTATCTGGGGTCCCAAAACCTAAGAGAACCCAGTGTGAGTTTAAGATTCTTTATGCCTGGTCTGGGCTTTGTATCTTGTAAGATCACAGGTTTACATATTTCATGATAGCATGTGGCTGGCACGATTGCAGCGCCTGAGCCTGCAAATGTCTTTGTTTAATTCCTTGCAGCCCCACCTTGCACGTAATCAGCTCCATCTGCAAAGTATTTGGCAGAATCAACATTCTTCTCCTGACTTTTTCCACATTGTGTCCAGAGCCACTAGGAGCCTTGTATTAGATTGAATCACATGAAATTACCATTTAAGGGAGATAAAAAATAGTCAAATGTCAGCGCTTTTTTTGTGTGTGTGATTCAACCTAAATTATTGCCCTTGTCTAGGATTATTTTTAAAGTATGTTAAAAGTGAGAACAAGCCGGGTGCAGTGGTATGCACCTGCAGATTTAGCTACTCAGGAGGCCGAGGCAGGAAGATCACTTGAGTACAGCCTGGGCAACATAGTGAGATCCCATCTCTTAAAAGGAAAAGAAAAAAACAAAAAGTGAGCACAGTGTGTGCTGTTGTGTCGATGTTTTAAATCTCTTTCTCCTGACTTCCTTCATACTCTTGTGCTATTTGGTTTATTTTTCAGGCTGGGAAGAAGCCCAGCATTGGATGTGGTTCACATTCTTAAGCAGGGGTTTCTTAGCCAGGCTTTATGAGGGATATGGAAAGATCAGAACCAGGCCTGCATGGACTTCTGGCTTCTTATAGTTGCAGTGAATCATGTAGTTATCCTTGCCGCTGTCCAAAGTCAGATAGCCTCTTTGCTTGCCATCCAAAGCCTCATGGCCTGACATCAGACATTATGACGGGACAGGGTCTGGAAGTGGCTCACAGTTACCCCCTCCCCTGGTCTCCCATCATGCTCACCGTCTAGTTTTCTCTTCTGACTGTCTCAACATTCTTCTTACACCTGCAGAATTACCTCCGAGTTGCATTCCAGGAGGTCAACAGTGGCTGCACAGGAAAGACCCTCCTTGTGAAACCTTATATCACCACCGAGGATGTGTGTCAGATCTGCGCTGAGAAGTTCAAGGTGGGGGACCCTGAGGAGTACAGCCTCTTTCTCTTCGTTGACGAGACATGGCAGCAGCTGGCAGAGGACACTTACCCTCAAAAAATCAAGGCAGAGCTGCACAGCCGACCTCAGCCCCACATCTTCCACTTTGTCTACAAACGCATCAAGAACGATCCTTACGGTGTCATTTTCCAGAACAGGGAAGAAGACCTCACCACCTCCTAGAAGACAGGTGGGACTTCCTAGTGGTGCATCCAAAGGGGAGCTGGAAGCCTTGCCTTCCGGCTTCTATGTGCTTGAGCTTGAAAAGCAGTCACCTCCTCGGGGACCCCTCAGTTTAGTGACTAAGCCATCCATAGGCCAACTGGGCCAAGGGCAACTTTAGCCATGCAAGGTAGCTGAGGTTCGTGAAACAGTAGGAGTCTCTTTTGGCAATGGAGAATTGCATTTGATGGTTCAAGTGTCCTGAGATTGTTTGCTGCCTACCCCCAGTCAGGTTCTAGGTTGGCTTACATGTATGTAGATGTGCAGAAGAAACACTTAAGGCACAAGCTCTTTTGAATTCAACAGCAGGTGTTTGACAAGACTGTCCGATGCAGCGCGTCAGGTGATCCTCACTCCTGTGGATGGCTTCATCTCTTCCTTCCTTCCTTCCTTTTTCCTTTTTTTTTTTTTACAAAGAGCCTTCATGTTTTTATATATTTCATAGAAATTTTTATAGCAGTTGCAGGTAAACTGTCAGGATTGGTTTTTAAAATATTTTTGTAACTTTAAAATATTCTATAATTATGCATGTGATTTTAACATTTAATATTCAAAAATAAATCTCTTGCTGGATTTGAGAGTATTGCATTTTAAAAGTCTCTCTTCTGTAACTGGATGTTTTGGCAACTTTGTGGGGAGAGACAGCTGGATTTCTTAAAGCCATGTATTCCTGACACTGGCCACAGAATGCCTTTGGAAATCGGATGTACTGTTACCTTGTTCACGTTTAGTGGTGTTTTGCTCTTTTGTTTTTTAAACAAATGATACTGAGAATAAGGAGAGAAACGAATGTAGAGAGAGGTAGAGAGAGAATCACGGACTCTAACAAAGGACTGAGGAGTGCAGTCTGCTGGTTCAGGCTCTTCGAAAGATGTGGAAAAAGAGATAGAACGAACCACCTATGCTTAAAATACTGTAAATATGCAATGAGGTTTGGCAAAATCTACTCCGTGTGTGATTTGCTTTTAGAAACAATTTTGAAAGCCCCCTGAGGAAAATAAAAATCGGGACTCCACGTTTGGATCCCTTTCCACGAACACCCGCTTCATTGAAGCTGTTTTTCTCTCTCCTGGAGTTCCCCTCTGGGGTCCCCTTCCACACTCCCTCGTGGAAGCCTGCCTTCCCCTCCTAAACTCCATCCCTCTCTATTCCCTTCCACTCCGTGTGGAGCTGCTTTTCTCTCCTGGATTGTATCTTTCTGGATTCTCTCACTCAGTGTGAGAGTTCGCTGTTTCTTTCTCTCTCCTTCTCCTGTTTGTCTCTCTCTTTAAATAAATCACTTCCTACAAACAAACAAACAAAAAATCAAGTAGAATACCTTTTCTCCCCTTTCCAGAGAAATTAAAACTAACAGCATCAAACTATTGGGACCCGAAACCAAGTAATGTATAATGTGGCTTTTGTGGAGTTAAATAAGATGCTGCACAATGGAGAAAAAATTTGGAAATACACACACACAAAACTACATTATCAGAATCTACAGTGAAATTAAACTTACGTTAAATAAAACCAGTTTGCAGGTGCACAAACGATGAGGGTCTTGTATCCATGTAACACAGGTAGTTACAAAAGCACGCCATTGTACTGTGTAAAGATGCATAGTCATCTAATTTGGTTGGCTTTGTACCTTGTACTTTTTTTAGCCTTGGCTTTTGTTGAACTAGAACCCTCAGCATATACTGTGTTGTACTTCCTTTTGTAAATGATTTTTTTTAATGGAATTTTGCACATAATACATTGTAATACTGTATGATAATCATGTGTGAAAATAATTTTTGAAATGTCCTTTGGTTGTCTTTTCTTTTTTCCTTTAGAGTAGGAATATATTCATGCACCGCACAGGGTCGTGGACAGATGAAATCCAAGCCAGGATTTGTGGTTAGAAGATCTATTCAGGGTGTAAGCAGAAAAGCTCACGTTTCTCAGAAGCTCCTTTTTTTTTTTTTTTTTTTTTTTGAGACGGAGTTTCGCTCTTGTTACCCAGGCTGGAGTACAATGGTGCGATCTTGGCTCACCGCAACCTCCGCCTCCTGGGTTCAGGCAATTCTCCTCTCAGAAGCTCCTTCTGACAAAGGGCAAAAGTTAAGGAGCAGGAGGAAAAGATCATCTTCCCACCTGAGAATGTTTCCATGGTTTTCTGGTACAGTACTTGGCTTAGTTGGACCTGGAGCAAATCACAGGTAATTGAACAAGGAGTTAACCGGGGCCCTGCAGACAGCCCCGCCCTGTCCTCATACCACCTCTGTAATGCCCTGGCTGACAGGTCAGTGCTGTTTCAGAATTGACAGAACAGAGGCTCAGTCTCCTCGCTGCTATACTCCCCATGCTTGGAATGGTGCCTGGCATATATTAATAGTAAGTGCTTAATAAATCCTTGTTAACTGAAGGAAGGAAAACACAAGTTTAGAAGGGTTTCTAACTCATCAGTGGGAGAGATCCCTAAAGATTAGAACGGGGACTGAATGGGCTGCTTGCTTTCGATGTTTACAATGAACTCAAAGATGACAGCTCAGTCCATATGGTTGCCCTTCCCACTCTTCAAACTAGGATCATCAGGCTTTGTTTTAAAGCAGGTCACAGCCTTTGGATGCGAGGCAGCCTGTGCAGCTTTTCGCGGGATGAGAGCAAGCCCAGAAAAGGAAAAGGTAGCGTGGGCAGAAAGCAACATCACAAGACAGTCCCTGGTTTTGTCGTTGGGCAATGCTTCCCTGTTAAAATTACAACACAGCATGCGCCTCCACTTTCCCCCCATGCAGGCATTTCTCACTTCCCAAATTGCCAGGAAACAGACTTGGGTGAAGGTTGGAAGGAATAAGAGGAGAGTAAATATACACATGCTGGGTGGAGGAAGAGGAGGATGCATGTCCAAATTTAAAAATATGTTATAGCTAAGGTGGGAGGATCGCTTGAGCCCAGGAGTTGGAGGCTGCAGTGAGCTACGTTCCCACCGCTGCATTGCAGCCTGGATGACAGAGAAACCCTGTCTCCACCCAAAAAAAGTAAAAATAAAAACATGTTATAAAGTTGAATGCTGGCCAAAAGAAGGGATTTTTTTTTTTTAAATGTTGCATGCACTGCCAAATGCTTTCACTCTAGCACCACCCCTCCCCCTGGGACACAGAATAGAAATAGCGACTGTTGAAGTAGTTCATACCATGTGGAAGTTACAACTTCCGATCTATGAGAAAATACAAAGGACAGGAAACCCAAGCATGAATGCTTCCATTCACAAATGCGGTTCCGTCCTCATTGGGCAGCTGTTACCTTCAGCTTCTTTAAGAGACTTGAAATGAGGGAGCACTCCAATCTCTAACAGCATGCCTGGTCATGCCTGGTCACACCTGGTGTGATTAAATTCTTCCATTTAAAAGTAGAGTTTGCCTGAATTCTGAGGCTCTATATAAAACACTTAGAATATGATTACACTAATGAATCTGAGTATTTCCTTTGACTGCACACATTAGAACTGCTATAGCCAGCTCTCATTTCTCACTGCTGGGGAATGGGGGATGGTCAGATCCTGCCACCTGGGGAGAGGGGTTCAGAACCTGAGGACCAGGGGTGGCCAGGGAGGAGCTCCTTCCTAGACGGTGTGTGCCTCTGTAACCAGCCTTTGGTTTCCTGGGGGAAATACCACTACACCATAATTAGCTCCATTGCTTCCCTTTCTTCTCATTTCCCCAGCATGACTCTGTGGGCTGGGTTTTTCGTAAATGCAGTAGGTTCGAGGATGCTCTTACCTCTATTCCAACGCTCGTTGACAAAATGCAGGCTCTGATCCTTTTCACAGTTTGTTTCTGCAGTTCCAACCAGAGATTCAAAAACTGAACCCAGTCCCACTGCAAACATTACTCACCCACACTACCTGTCATCAAGGCTCGGTGTCCTCTCTTCTATTGAATAGGTGGCTCTCAGCTTGAAGTCGCCTGGAGTCTTTTAAAACTCCCGATGCCCCAGCTGCCCAGCCTGTCAGAATCTCTGCAGAGGTGACCCAGCAGGCCACATTTATTTTAAACTTTCAAGGTGCTTCTGCTGTGAAAACTGCTGGTTTAGATCAAAATGTGGATGTCAATATAAAAACACACCTGGGAGAAGTAACGCCTTGCCTAACCAAGACCACTGACAGCTAACCAAGCATGCACTCTCAACCTGATCTGGCTGGCAGAGGACCATGGAACGTGTACTTCTGGCCTGGTGCTATCCAGTAAGAATACGAGGCAAGCCACAAAGGTAATTGTACATTTACTAGTGGCCACCTTTTTAAAAAGCAAAAGGAAATGGGTAGAATCAATTTTAGTAATTTTATTTAGGTCACCATATCTCAAATATATTTCAACAACTAATCAAAAATATCAAAGAGGTATTTTACATTCTTTTATTTTTTTTTTTTTTTT